GCATAATTAGTACGGTGATCTAATTACATGGATGGATGGATGTAGCTGTACCTTGTTCATGACTTTCTGCTGCTGTGTGTGATTCTGCCTCAGTGACACCACCTCCCTCCACAGAACGTTACTTTGCCTACAAGATAGATAGATAAATCATTATTGATATAGATACAGTACTATATATAGAATAAAACAACAACTTGAGTGAAAAGTTGAACTATGAAATTAACATAAATGTTGTGTTCACACAGGCAAATGGGGGAGTGTTTGGGTAACCTGTTTGAAAACTATAATTATTTTTGCAATTACATTTTTTTAAGCTATAGTGGTGCACACATGAAATGACACTTCAGCTTTACCATCAACCAGATTAATCAGTAATCACAATGCACAATAACCTGCCTTGCCCTGGTTAATCAAACAGAGCAGACTTGATAAAGGCACATTATGGATGCCTATTACAGTAAATGGATCTAATTTCATGCATTGACTTTTCAGACGGAATTCTATTGACATCGTGCATGGCACGCCATGAGGTAATTCAAAAAGAAGAGGTTTAAATTATTCTATAGTATTGTACAGTATGTACTAAGTAGAATCAAAGGTCAGGTTTAGTTATATCTTTATACATTAATCATGATTCCATATACTGTGTTGAACTATTGGAATTTCATTTGGTATTGAGAAATCATGTAAAAGTCAGAGTCAGTTGGCTTGTTGAAAACACTGAAGAACTATTGACCTTACAAACATGTAAGTGTCCTTTTGACCTAAAGTGGCTGCATTGTTTTTGTTTGCAACAGGCTAAGTGAGGGCAAGGGAAGTGTCTGAAATCATGTGGAAAGTCAAGCCAACAATCACGTAGATGTTTCTGCACACTTCTGCTCTGAACACACATGGTAGTATCAATACGAATGTGAAAGGGCTTTGAACACTTGAAAATATCACCTTCACACACCATCTAGTTGCTCTATCTGTTGGTTTGTTTGAGGGCAACAAACCGTTTTCACCATCTGCTAAACCAGGCAATTCTTCATTTTCTCTCTCTCCTTTTTCTTTTTAGATTATCTATATTTTAGATGATACTGTTTGTTTGATTTTTTCTATCGATTATATTGTTTGTTTGGTTTTTAGATTATATTGTTTGCATTTTTAGGTTATATATATTTTTGTTAAATATTTTCTGATATAAAGCTATGACAAAAAAAATGAAGAAAATGTGAGTGGTGCTCTAATGCAAAAGTTGCTGCTATGATGCATTTGAAAATAAGTGATTTTCAGTATTTTAGGAAGCTACGGTTTTCTGGGTGGATGCTGAGGAATTTCTAAGTGGTTGCTACGTTGTTCATATTGGTTGCTATGTGCTTGCCTGCTGGCTTTGGGCAAAACAGCCCTCAGGTTTCTTGATATTCCCATCCTTTTCTTAATGCACTGCTATGCTATTTTGAATATTTTCACATCAGCCAGGTGAAAATCTTACAGTAAGTCTGAAAGAAAATAGTGCGACAAGCTGTAGTGTATATGTATATTCTGTGATAATGCTTCCATGCAGTTTGTTTTCGAAGGAAATGAACACTATTATTTAGCAAGAGCGTATTAAATTGATCAAAAGTGACAGTAAAGACATTTACAAAGTTTTATATTTCAAATAAATGCTGTTCCTGTGAACTTTCTATTCATCAAAGAATCCTGGAAAAAAAATTATCATGCTTTACACAAAAATATTAAGCAGCACAACTGATAAAAATCAGCATATTAAAATTATTTTTGAAGGATCATGTGACACTAAAGACTGGAATAATGGTTGCTGAAAATTCAGCTTTGTCATCATCACATAAAAAAGTTATTTTATTATTTTAAATACTAACTAATAATATTTTGCTCATATTAAACCTTGGTATGAAACCTTGAGCAAAACACAATTTTGAACGGTAGTGTATATACAGCATAAGAAATCGTCAAGATGATGCTAAAATAATCAACATCATTCTGTATTTCTCCTTTCATCCCTCACAAACTGAATTGCAGACTAGTTTTAGACTAGGATATGTATATAATTGGTTTCTCTTTTTTCAGAGCGTGTGGCTTTGATCTCACTTATGGCCTTAGTTCCACCTGAAGTTAAACGTCACAGTTCTAACACCCCACTCAAGCTGACGTGTGTGTGACTGGATACTTCCTCTCTCACACACACACACACACATTCTCATCGCTGTCTTCTATAATCTGTTTTGACAAACCCTCAGGGTCACCACTGCATCTCACAAGTATTTAATTAATTATTTAAGTGTGATCATTAACCATTCATTTTCTCTATGCTTTCTGTGTCCAAGTAGATTCTGAAAGGATGAATGGACATGTGTTCATGGTACAAATTCCTCACAGTGTTTAATCACTAATGGACTATGTGTTTGGCCAGATTAGCGCTAGCATAATGCTGCATAAACGCAGCTGCGCTGCCGCTTTGGCTGTTCAGACCGAGGCCACCAAGTTCATTAATTTAATCCTGGCTCTCAAATTTATTAATAACAAGATCATGACTGACCTCGCAGCTGCAGGCACTGATGACTGTTTTAAATCGTGCATCATGTGCTCTTTGACCCTCAGGCCAGTGATTTCTTGGCCCTGCAATGTTTATATGACGCACTAAGGCAGATTAGGGATTTGAGTCCAAACTGACAATATTTGTCAACATTTCATTATGTGATTTGTAAATTATGACTGGACTTTATTAATAATAGACATTATTAGTTATAAATGACAACTTTACCTTTGTTCTTTATTATATAATAATTCATTTCAGTAATGGGTTATGCCAGCAACGATGTTTAAATGAACCGATTGGGGGAAAAAATGAATGTGAACATTTGAACAGTTTATTTCTACTCTAAACTTTGACCTGGGAAGTACTTTTCCACTTTTTAAATGCATTTTAATTTTATTAATTGTATTTAATTGTATTTAATTTTTTACGATGATAATACCAATAACAAAATAAATCAAGGGATTTATTCATGATTTATATCATTAATTACTCATTTTAATTATCTTTTTGCACAGCTTAGCTTTTTGTTGGACTTCACACTAATGCTTAACCCTGAAAAAAACAATTGAGTGAACAAATAAATAATTGTGAATGATGAAAGGCTTTTCAGGCATCTGACAAATTCAAATGATGTGCAAAACAACATAAAGTCAAACTTTATAACATTATTTTATAGACTGTTGGGTGACTTTTTTTTGACTATTTGACATGTTTTATGACTGAAAATTCAAGCGACACATTCGAAAATAAGTATAGATATCATTACAGATATGAGGATGTCATTTTTGGAGCAGCTTGTCCATGCAGGTTGACATGGTCTTGCAAGCAATTCAAGCACAGTGCTAATGTTATACGGCAAACATTGCTTTTACAGCGAGGAGTGTAACTCATCAATATCTTGACTGTAATTTCTCAGAAGAGGAGATGGGAGTACAATAAATGCTCTCATGAAACTGCAAGATTACTTTAGGAGATGGAAACAGCTTATAATTAGAGGTAAATTGCTGAAAAACAACATACAGCCTGATCCATAATTGAGTCTCATTAATCTACTCAGAAAATATTAATTTGTAAATGCCTGGCAACAGAAATGTCTTGCTCATCTTCAACAGCTAGCAAACGGTCTCTTACCTAGTTCCACTCATGGGTACACACATAAACACAGACCGACCTCCCACATGACAACAAACCTGATAGCGCTGTGCATCCTCATGCAAATAAAACACTTCCTTCTTCCTGCAACACTAATTAAAATGTGCCTGCTGGAACAAGATACATGGGAACAATTTACTTATGTTGACTGCTGAAGTTAATGCTGAATATTTATTCATTAACTACAGGATGTACGTGAGATTTCTCAAAATTGAGTGACTTGCATTGACGTAATTCTACAGTTTGACAGTTAGAATGTCAGTTGTCATAAGGGCCTATGACCTGGTTAGCATATACAGATGCTGACCGGTGATTTTAATTTTGCATGCATCAGCTACTAATCACGTTTAATTCAATCAGGCTTTGACCTGAATGACTACAGAAGCATTTATAATGTCTATGTGTCCATGGATTCTATGCTTTAGCTCAGAACTGCTGCTTTTCACAAAGAGATATTTATGTTTACATTTACAGTCATCTATATTCATTTTGATATTATTGTGCTAACATGTTTTGCACCCATCTCTTCAGTAACCTTGTTACCTTGTGGGTTGAATATATACTTAGCAATCTATTTAAATATCCTCTGCATGTAGGTGCTTGCTTCATAATGACATTTTGTGCTTTGCACTTTGTCTTACAGAAATGTTCAGTTTGACATACTGAATGAATTTCAATATTGTCAACATACAGAAATCTAACGATATTGTTGATTAAATGCCTAAATGTCAAGCATTCAGTATCTTTTATTCATTCACTTTTTTTGCTAGATGCTGAATTTTACAGAGTGTTCATAAATAACTACACAAAAATATTCTATATTACGTGTACTATTTTATGGAAGAAATAGCTATCTGTCCAAGTGAGGACTGGTTTGCATGAGTAATAATAAAATAAAAACTTCAGATCTGGATTGTGGGTCCCCCTGCTGGTTACATAAGTGTAGAGCTTTTTATATATTTAATTTTATACTAAATAAATTATTTATTGAATAATATTGTTTTATTATTTTATTTTTATGTGTAAAAGTGTATGCATTCCTAATACTTTGACGTAAAGCTTATTTTTTTACCTTTACTTTACCCTTCTATTTCAAATAAATGTTGTTACTGTGAACTTTCTATTCATCAAAGAATCCTGGAAAAATGTTTCGTGGTTAAAAATGTCTTGTGGTTTACACAAAAAATATTAAGCAGCACAACTGATAGATAGATAGATAGATAGATGGATGCTATTTCAATCTGACTCTAATAAAACCATCACCTGCTCAGGTGGATATGGGCTGCTGTATATTTGTAAATATCCCACCTCTTGAAGACAAGCAGTTTTTTTCCTAAACAACAACCTCAACATCATGAATGACAATTCAGAATCCACACAAAACCCCACACATCTGCCCAGCACACTCTCCTGTGCAGGTTGTGTTTGGCCATTGTGCTGCTTGGCGTGACAGTGTGGCATTATTCTAGGCTTTGTGTGGGTCTGTATTGTTCTCCTGTGGGCTGCTTTGTTGAATGAGGGGGTATAGTGGTGATGCTGCAGGCCATTGCTTTATGCTGACTCTGACCTGTGGGAATGGCAGGGAGAGATATGGCCCTATGACTAGGCCACAGACAGAGAGAGGAGGAGAAGGAGAGAGGAACAGCATCAGCAACGCGCATCCCAAGAGAGCATCGATTTGGAAATGGTCTAAAATACTACTGGATTAAAGACTCATGTGTTCAAGTCCAAGTGTAGTCATGCAGGAGAACCCAGGCTCTATAGGTGTAGATGGAGGATACGCCAGCAATGTACCTGCTTTCCTCACTAAACTCTGGACTCTTGTGGAGGACCCAGAGACCAATCATCTGATTTGCTGGAGCACTGTGAGTTCACACTAATGGCATTCTTTGGCTGATTTATATATGATAAAGTGTGTAGATTTGAAATAGAATGGAACTCACTGTTGTGGACCTCTGATTAGATAGTAGGCTTAAATTAGGCAGAGCAACAACATATTTAAAAGTTTATTAAGAGGGATTTTAAAACCATTTTAAATGGCAAAAACATCCAAGTATATTGATCTGACTGCAATGAAAGTAGTTATGTATACAGATCCTTTTATATTGTATGTGGAGAAAAAACATAAGTATAAACATGTAGTTAACTAAATTAAATAACTGACATAATTTGTCTATTTCTACAGGTAAAACAATACACTATTGGAAAATATTTACTTAGTTAACAGTCTATATGTTTTACAATAAATATTTTTCCTACCCCAAATTACAATATCAGAGAAACATTTATATAAATGTATAAATTCTGTTTATATTTTTTTTCTATCAAATTTTCAGGGAACCCTGGATTTATACGAGAGCACTTGGGGGTCCATAGAAAATCTGAGAGAAATGTAGAAAAATGTTTCTTTGATACTGTTATTTGAGGTAGAATAGTTTTTTCCTAAAACAGATATAGTGTTAACTAAGCAAATATTTTACAATATTTTAATCATGGTAACACATTATAATAAGGTCCCATTAGTTAACTAACAATTAGCAATACATTTGTTACAATATTATAATGTTAGTTCATGTAAGTATTCACTGTTATCTACTGATTGTTATTTCATGTTAGCATTATCCATTAAATAATATTAATATATTAAATTATAAATTATTTTCATAGAAAAAAGTATATATTTACAACGTATTTTATATTACCACGCATAATTATGCACAATGCATAATTTTATATTACCACCTTGTGTGAATCTGGCATATTATTCTTTGTGCATTATGGAAATGTAGATTTAAAGTGGTTTTACTGTAAAGACTAACTCTAAAATGGCTCTCAAACTCTTTGGTTTAGTCTCTATGGCTCTGCATATTATTATTAATGATGTTCTAGCTTATGTTATCTGAGAATTATTAATAAGAAGCACTCTGTTTATACAAGCTATTCAAACTGCATCCATCTGAAAATATCTCAGTTCAAAATTCATTTGAAATGAACATCAGTGAGAGGTGAAATCAAAGGCCCCAATAAACAAAAGTGTATTGCCTGAACTTAGAACCAAAAAAAAAAATCAATGACAAACTCTAAAATAAATTCATGCAGGAGAACCCAGGCTCTATAGGTGTAGATGGAGGATACGCCAGCAATGTACCTGCTTTCCTCACTAAACTCTGGACTCTTGTGGAGGACCCAGAGACCAATCATCTGATTTGCTGGAGCACTGTGAGTTCACGCTAATGGCATTCTTTGGCTGATTTATATATGATAAAGTGTGTAGATTTGAAATAGAATGGAACTCACTGTTGTGGACCTCTGATTAGATAGTAGGCTTAAATTAGGCAACAACATATTTAAAAGTTTATTAAGAGGGATTTTAAAACCATTTTAATGGCAAAAACATCCAAGTATATTGATCTGACTGCAATGAAAGTAGTTATGTACACAGATCCTTTTATATTGTATGTGGAGAAAAAACATAAGTATAAACATGTAGTTAACTAAATTAAATAACTGACATAATTTGTCTATTTCTACAGGTAAAACAATACACTATTGGAAAATATTTACTTAGTTAACAGTCTATATGTTTTACAATAAATATTTTTCCTACCCCAAATTACAATATCAGAGAAACATTTATATAAATGTATAAATTCTGTTTATATTTTTTTTCTATCAAATTTTCAGGGAACCCTGGATTTATACGAGAGCACTTGGGGGTCCATAGAAAATCTGAGAGAAATGTAGAAAAATGTTTCTTTGATACTGTTATTTGAGGTAGAATAGTTTTTTCCTAAAACAGATATAGTGTTAACTAAGCAAATATTTTACAATATTTTAATCATGGTAACACATTATAATAAGGTCCCATTAGTTAACTAACAATTAGCAATACATTTGTTACAATATTATAATGTTAGTTCATGTAAGTATTCACTGTTATCTACTGATTGTTATTTCATGTTAGCATTATCCATTAAATAATATTAATATATTAAATTATAAATTATTTTCATAGAAAAAAGTATATATTTACAACGTATTTTATATTACCACGCATAATTATGCACAATGCATAATTTTATATTACCACCTTGTGTGAATCTGGCATATTATTCTTTGTGCATTATGGAAATGTAGATTTAAAGTGGTTTTACTGTAAAGACTAACTCTAAAATGGCTCTCAAACTCTTTGGTTTAGTCTCTATGGCTCTGCATATTATTATTAATGATGTTCTAGCTTATGTTATCTGAGAATTATTAATAAGAAGCACTCTGTTTATACAAGCTATTCAAACTGCATCCATCTGAAAATATCTCAGTTCAAAATTCATTTGAAATGAACATCAGTGAGAGGTGAAATCAAAGGCCCCAATAAACAAAAGTGTATTGCCTGAACTTAGAACCAAAAAAAAAAATCAATGACAAACTCTAAAATAAATGATTTGCATCAATATGTGGAGACTTAAGAATGTATATGTTCATAATCTTCTGGTTTATTAATTTTTTCATCTCTACCATTAATTTAACATAAATTTGGCAATGCATCACCAATACTGGGCACGTGAATTAATTTGTTAAAATCCTGTGTATCAAAAATCATTTACACTAGAGTTGTTTTCATTTAACATTCTGTATGTGTGTGCAAAAAAAAAAGCAATAAATAAATAACAGCAGGAAGACAGTGAAAACTCAATGAGGTTGAAAAACAGGCAGGCCGCGCTTAGCAGATGCTTCTCTCTGATTGCAATCATGTGTCTCAGTTTTGCATTTAACAATGTCCTTCAGGAATAGCTTGAGGAAGAACCTTAAAAAACTCCCTTTCACAAAAACTAATTATAATCAAAGCAAAGACATGTTTTCCTTTTTGGCTTGTTTTCTCTAGACGGGCACCAGCTTCCATGTTTTTGACCAGGGCAGGTTTGCCAAAGAGGTTCTGCCCAAATACTTCAAACACAATAACATGGCAAGCTTTGTACGCCAGCTCAACATGTGTAAGTATCATTCTGTGCTGACAAACATCCCAAAGCTATCAAAGACACTTCAGACTGAAATAGTGTTCGCGTTAACCTCTCACTTCTCTCTCAGACGGCTTCAGGAAGGTGGTGAATATTGAGCAGAGTGGGCTGGTGAAGCCCGAGCGAGATGACACCGAGTTCCAGCACCTCTATTTCCTCCAGGGTCACGAGCATCTGCTTGAACACATTAAGCGCAAGGTGAGACATCTCATCTGTAAGTGATTCTCACTCTTGCTTCATTCTCTGAGTCGGAGGCCCTGACACACACACACACACAGGCTGGAGGTTTATGATCTCACATTATGCCAGCCGCCATATCACCCTGTAGCCCAAGACTGGTTGCCCACTGAAGCTAAGCAGGGCTGAGCCTGGTCAGTACCTGGATGGGAGACCTCCTGGGAAAACTAGGTTGCTGCTGGAAGAGGTGTTAGCGAGGCCAGCAGGGGGTGCTCACCCTGTGGTCTGTGTGGGTCCTAACGCCCCAGTATAGTGATGGGGACACTATACTGTCAACAAGCACCGTCCTTCGGATGAGACGTTAAACTGAGGTCCTGACTCTCTGTGGTCATTAAAAATCCCAGGATGTCTTTCGAAAAGAGTAGAGGTGTGACCTCGGCATCCTGGCCAAATTTGCCCATTGGCCTCTGATCATCATGGCCTCCTAACAATCCCCATATCTGCTGATTGGCTTCATCACTCTGTCTCCTCTCCACCAATAAGCTGGTGTGTGGTGGGCGTTCTGGCGCACTATGGCTGCCGTCGCATCATCCAGGTGGATGCTGCACACTGGTGGTGGATGAGGAGATACCCCCTGACAATGTAAAGCGCTTTGAGTGCCTAGAAAAGCGCTATATAAATGCAATGAATTATTATTATTATTATTATTATTATTACTGATGACTGTTTGTGTGTTTTCAGGTGTCAATAGTGAAGAGTGAGGAGACCAAAGTGCGGCAGGAGGACTTGAGTAAGTTGTTGTATGAGGTGCAGGTGCTACGCAGCCAACAAGAGAACATGGAGATGCAGATGCAGGATATGAAACAGTAAGATGTTTAACACACATCTATACGTACATGCACACATACCCAATTAATCCCATGGCATCATTTACTGCCTATCCTTGCCTTTAGTAACAAAAAACTGAACCCCAAACAAAAACTTGCCCTTTCATCTCTATTATCTCTCTAACTTTTCACCTACTTCTCATTCATTGGCTCCTCTGCATTGTGAATCTCAGTGGTTTGGTGTTTTGTTTAAGCTGCCTCAATAGCACTTTCAGTAGCTCACCTGACAGATAGGGGCCAGTAGTCTGATCACCTGCCCACAGGAAGATATTCATTTCTAGGGACTAGGGACTTTCTAGGGATCGATCTATCTATCTATCTGTCTTGTTTGTCTGTATGTCCATCCATCCCATCCAAACATCTATCTATATTTCCATCCATCCATCTGTCCATCAATCCAACCAAGAACCAACTATATCTATATATCTGTATGTCCATCCTTTCATCCATCGATCTATTTTTCCATCCACCCATTCATCCATCTATCCATCCATCTGTCCACCCATTTATGCATTTGTATGTCCATCCATCCATCCATTCATCCATCCAACCAAACAACCATCTATCTATCTTGTAGGCAAAATGACGTTCTGTGGAGGGAGGTGGTGTCACTGAGGCAGAATCACACACAGCTGCAGAAAGTCATGAACAAGGTAATAAAAAATACAGTTCATAACCACAGTGAGAGACAGTGGATTGATGTGGCCATTATTGGGGAAGATGCTGTCGTGCAGATTTTGTGACTGAGTAACGATGAATCACGCTCTGTTTCTCTGTTCTATTAATAGCTGATTCAGTTCCTGTTTAGCCAGATGCAGTCCAACACTCCCAGCACTGTGGGAATGAAGAGAAAGCTGTGAGTGTACCCATTAATCTGTAACACACACACACTAATCTGAAGCACTTGATTTTGTATCGATACACAAAAACAAACAAAAAAAGCGCAAACAGAAAATAGCAATCAACAGCCTGATGCTCTAACACAAACACAGTAGAGGGAACGGCCAACTCAGCTGGAAACAGTCAGCTGATACAATTCACTGCCCTTGCTGGGATGAATGGACCTGAATGCTGAGTCAGACCTCCTGAGCTCTTGCCCTCACACACACACCCACAAACACGCACACACCTGAACTGTAGCGCATGACCTTCTACACTCTATTAAAAAGGTGCAGTGTCAGCTAGTGTGATGCATCGGAACAAACTGGGTAAGAGGGACCACAAGAGCCAGTGCTTGGTATTCCACTGCAACTTTTAACTGACTGACTTACTAATGACAACATTTCTCCAATGTTCTTTCAGTTTTACCACTAGAGGGCAACAGGATTGTAACTCACAGGAACAGTCAACACTTATTGATGTAGCTTTTATCAATTATATGCTGCATTCTTCCTTCTCCCCAGTCCTCTCATGCTGGATGATGCCTGTTCCACCCCTCCTGCCTCAAAATTCAGCCATAGCCACTCCGCGGAGTCCTTGCAAGAATCGTTCTATATCCAGTCGGTGAGAAAGCTTTTATATTAAAGATTGAAGATCTGACATAGAAGATTTTACTCACTCGCTTTCATATTAAAGATTGAAGATCTGACACAGAAGATTTTACTCACTGTATCATGCCTCTTACAACTGGTGTTTTGATGGTTTTCTCAATCAATAAAATATGACAAACACAGACTCTCTTTCATGTTCAACCAGCCATCCACAGAAAGTGCATCCTGCTCCACTAGCAATGTGATGACAGGAGGGCCAATAATCTCTGATGTCACTGAAATCTCACAGTCCAGCACCATGGCTTTACAAATGCAGGCAGAGGAATCTAGGTGAGTGGACCGAGCTTCAGAGTTAAAGGGATAGTTCACCCCAAAACACTAATACATTATTATGATCATGTTGTTTTGGACCCCATTGACTTTCAATGTATTGACACAAACGTTCTTCTAAATCGGGAGAGAAAGCAATGACAGAATTTTCATTTTGTGGCGAACTGTCCCTTTAATATTAGCTGCTATGTTTACAGGGCCCTAAAATTTCCACCATTCGGAAAATGTTGACAGAAAACAAACTTTGAGAAAAAATACAATGGAATTTATTTAAGAAATGGTCTATTTGTTTAGAGAAAAGTGTCTGATGCTGATTAAGGAAGAGCCAGTGAGCCCTGGGGTGCAGGGACGAGGAGAGGGTGTACCACTCGGCTCCTGTGAGGTGTGTACTGAACCCCCCGTCCTCCCTGTTGCCATGGTACAGTCCGTCCTAGAGGGCCGAGGATCTAATTTGGGAGAGAGAAGGGCCAAAAGACCCATGCTGGAGAGGTATAATATATCAAATCACAAATATCTACGACTTAGTTAAGACTATTGTTTTTCACAGATAAGCAACACTTACATTTCAGTTCACTGAAAAATCTATTTTAATTTATATGTAAGATCAGAGATTCCCGATTGTGTGGAGAATGTTGACATGAGCCTGGAGGATTTACAGCTGCTTCTGAGGAGTCACCAGCAGAGCATGGAAACCAGTGCTGCAGCAATGGATGTAAGTCTGAATCGATACAGGGAGAGAGTGAATCCGATGTTTACACACGTACATCTGAATGGGAGGATAGCCTGATCATCTTAATGACCTTAAAATACATAATGGATTAACAGATGATCTCTCCACTTTCTCTTAGCCCTTCACATTTAGTCTGTCTTTGAACGAGTGGAACTTCACAGAAATGGACCCAACCCTGAAATCAGTGAGTTTACTGTCATTTGTAAATAATCAGTTGAGATAATTAAAGCTACACTATGTAATTTATTTTTCAACAAATAAAATGAACAAAATGTCATCGTAAACCCATCTTCCAAACCATATGTTTTGCCTTACCCTAAATCACTATGGTAAGTCTACTCTATAGTAATTATTTATATTTCAGAATTTCAGAGAAACTGCATACTTTCATCGCTCGTCCGTGTGTGCTTACATCATAAACGTAAATAAAGGAAAGAAGTCCAGGCTCAAACCGAAAAGAGTTTGCAAGCAATAAGGGAAAGCAAAAGTGCTCTTAATAAAACTAGAATCAACATAGTTTGCATAGCAACAGATTTGTTGTGAATTGATTAGGTTCGTAAAACAATACTGTTAGGAAGAATGTCTAACAGTTATTATTTTGGTCTATTTGCCTAAATTGCCTTGCCAAGTTATAGTTTATCCATTTTTACCATTATCTGATACGAATGGCAATCGTTGTATCTAGTGCCAGCATTGCTAAACCTTTGTAATGTTATTTTAAAACAGTTGATTTCAACAAGTGAAAACAACAACACCATGTAAGCTTACCTGCTCAAAACATATTTTTAGATATCCGTCTTGTCTTTTGTTAGAGACCTCAGGGTAGCGACCCTTCTTACAGGAATGAAAACCAAGTAGCGGAGCCGAAGCACAACTCACGTAATTACCAAAACAATATTCCTCCGCAGGTAACTTGTAGTTTAATACTTCAACCGCTAGAGGGCCATAAGGTTACATAGTGTTGCTTGAATGCATGATGGCTCAAAAAAACAACACGAGAGCATTTTTAAATTAATGCTTGCATGATTGTGTGAACTATTTTCTAAACTATTTCTGTGTACATGTGCAGGAGCTGGTTAATGCCCTCATCCCTGCTGCTGTGTCCCAGTACATGTTTCAGGGTCAGGAGGGGGAGACGTACCCCACCTCTGGCTACGAGGAGCAGTGAAGCCCTAATATGACAGCCAGCACAGATCCCTCCTGAGAGCGAGCAGGTACTGATCAAGTCACTAACCTGATGTCCAAATCTTTTGTCTAAATAGTTGTATACTATTCAAATCTACCTCACACTTATGCTTGTCTTGCTTCATTGTTTCTCTCAGAGTGATCCATTTGAAAGTATGCCACTTGGATTGAACATTATCCCAACATCAGAAGAGAAGGCTCAAATTTTTCTGACTAGCAGATGTGGAGGTTATAAACAGTAGCAAGTAAACATGCTTGACCAGCCCTTTGTGAAGAAGATTCACTTAGTTGGCCATTGGTGGAAGGTGCATTTTTACAAAATCACTGGGAGCAATTCAACTCTTTGGAGATGGAATATTTACAGTAATCCTTTCTCAAAGCCTATAAGGAGTTCAGGCTACATCAAGATCATTTTGAAGATATTTTTCTCATGATATAATGCATCCTAAGGAAACTTCTATAGCCAAGGAAAAGGCAATATTAAGCATTTCCCTCCCGAACGACTACAATACAGGTGAACTATATGCAATATGACGTAAATCACTGTGGCCCGAGTTTGAATGCACTTTAGTCTGTGTGTTGGAGTTCCTGCTTTGTGGAGCTGTGATTTCATTTTCCCTAAAATTTAACTGTAAAAAATGAATACATTTAGTTCAAATTGATATCATAATGAAGCACACACACTTGTATTTCAATATATATTTGAAGACATATAAAAAGTACTGGTTTAACCATATTGTGTATGTATTAATGTGAGAGGTCTAGGGGTTAAAAATCAGACCTCGCAGAAAGAAAACTGAAACCGATGCACTGATTTTTGCACAATTTACTGTCTTTTTCGCAATCATATTTTAGTATCTGAAACATACTATTAAGACATCAAGTATCTTTGTTTCAATTTATCCTTTAGTTGATCGACTAGCCTTTCAGAATTTACAGCTGTCTTTGATACGATTATGATATATTGTGTGATATTTGCCCTCATTTGATACAAATGTATTGACCACACTGGTTAGATGCAAAAGACAGAATCAACGATTCTTAATGCCTTTTTAGATGAGCACTATACTTATGTAAAATGCAACATCTATATTTTAATTATTTATACAATGCATTCTAATTTGACGTTTTCAGCTGACTATTTCAGCCCATCAGCAAAATTAGAGACTGTCTAACAATGGCAGTGCTTTAGGGAAGAATGTGTTTATTTTTCCTGCCAAACCTCAGATATGTAATGAGGGCAAATGAACACACAACATATAATAACATTTTAGAGGCCATAATGCACTTTGTTATTAGGGCAGCCATGTAGCAATGCAGAAAACCCTAGATCTCTTACAAATGTGTTGAATTTTAAGTGCAATACTGCTGCATTTATTTATATGATTTCCCTAAAAAGGACTTTTGCTGCATTGATTTGTATGATTTCTAAAGATGCAACATCTAATGATGATTTAGATGGGAACTATGATGGAATAAAATAAATTGCACTAAGGGTGATAACTGTATTAGAAATAGTGTTTTTTTAGTGTTAGTTTATACTTTTAATTTTCCACTATTCTCTACCAAAGAGCAACAATGAAATGGTTTATTTTGAGAAGAGTGCTTTTTCACATAGCTTGCAAGTCTTTCATTGTATACTTATTTTTCTTTCATAACGTAATTAATTGCACTGCTAAAAAAAATGAATGTAGACAAACACAGCAAGACACAAAAGCATGAAAGCAAGAAAGGAAACCAATGTTTCATATTATTTCTGGATGTAGTCTGTTCCTGACTCCCACCAGCATGTTAAAAATATGTACACAAAGAAAAAAGTAAAACAATAAACCTATTTTAAAAGCATGCAGCAAATCTCATTTTACTTCTTAAAATAAATGAATGAGGAGATTACATTAAACAGTTTCATAAGTAAACTGAAAAATCTCCGTCATATTGTGGAATAGGCCTGTAGTATTTTTTATAAAAGGGTGATACATGTATTAGAAAGAGATTTTATTCAGTTGGTTTTACTATTCCCTACCACAGATAAATGGTTTAACTAAATTATTTATTTTGAGAAAGTTAAAATAGGCCTATTACGTTTCTTCCCGTCGTGATTTCTTGGTAATGAATATAAATTAGAGGAGCAAAAAAGAAAGAAAGAAATATGGCTTAATAAAATAACGTGTTTATGAGTATAATAAACACATTTGACTTATCCATCAATACGCTGTAATATTTATTAATATATATATATATAATTGTTTTAAGGATTTTTTTTTATTAACAAGATCAAATTACATGTATATGACAAACACTATACATGATATAATATATGATATAATCAATAAATATTATACATGAAATAAACAATTTCACACTAGAGGGGCTGAATACAAATTTCTATAAAAATATTAAAGCGTTTACAAACTTTCACCGTTTTAATTGCTTTTTGTTTCATAGAAAATCGTATAGTATCAATATAATGCTCCATTTCCTTCCTAAAAGAAAAAAAAACTGCAATTTTTTTTGCAGGAGAACTTCCATTTGTGAATATGAAATTTTGCATGTAAAAAATAAGATTTATCATGTGAACGTGACTGTGCTTTTCTTTGCTGGTCTCCAATATACCAAAATCATACATATTTCCATAACAAAACAAAATGATTATCAATATTTTGTACAATAAAAGCAATAAATATATCCTTATTGTTCCATACAGCAGCCTACCTATGAGGTGAAAAATTGAAATGCTGTTTGTTTGCGTGTGCACGGTTATATTAACCTTAACTTGTACATGTATACGTTAAGTAGTTAAAATAAAGGGAAAATGTCATTCAAAACATCGTTTTTGTTATATTTTATCGGTAGCAGATGGTATTGTTTTCTTGTTGTTTTATTGCACAATTAATCGAAAATAGCAGTAGTCGTTTGGTGCAATTACCTAAACGTGAAAAGTTTCGAGTACAAACACAATGTTTACAGTTACAGTAACGCTAAATGTTTCTGTTTACATGTTTTTTTCCAGTGTAACTATCCAGCGAAGAATTGTAATTGTGAACCAGAGGCGTTAAAATTTGTGCTCTCTGCCTTAGACAGGGTTGTACACAGCATATTTGAATTTAAATGAACACTTGACACAATGTTCCTCAAAAAATTGCTTTAACTCACACTAGATAAACTGAGACTTCCAGCCAATCAGAGATAGTTAAGCTCGAGATTTACTTTACAAGGTTTACTTTTGTTCTATCCATATACACATAGCCGGACACATCAATTTGTTCCAAATTGTGCTCTATACACTCACTATGCACATGTACTATGTACTCTGCCATCTGTCTGACTTTTATATGGTTATTTTAAGCGGCTGCATGAAGTGTCCAACATTCCACACTTATTTTTTTCATCCATGTATTTGAAGTGCATTATTTGCATAATTTCCTGTTTGCTGATCCCCCAGTGGATCAGTAAAGTTCTATCATATCTTCATTTTAATCACTCCTGAACATCATGTTTGTTTTTTGCAGGTACCCTTTAACAAATTACACATTCGGCACCAAGGAGCCGCTCTATGAGAAGGACAGCTCGGTAGCCGCACGCTTTCAGCGGATGCGGGAAGAATTTGATAAAACTGGGATGCGGCGGACGGTGGAAGGGGTTCTGATCGTTCATGAGCACAGACTCCCTCACGTGCTGCTGCTGCAGTTGGGAACCACCTTCTTCAAGCTGTAAGCAGCCACTGATTCACTGGAGTTTGTGTGTTATGGATGTGATCGATTCAAATGGATGCTTTTCAGTGGTTAAACTGTACTCTATTGTTAAAAGATATGATTCTTTATACATTTTTGTGCATTATTTTGCTATGGCTTGTTTTCTTTTCTTTGCGATGTTTTGTTTGTTCATTATGCATTTATTGAATAAGTGTCTACTAAAACGTTTGTCAGTGGCTGATGGTTTATACATTGTTTTTTTCCAGTCCCGGGGGTGAGTTGAACCCTGGAGAGGATGAAGTGGAGGGGCTGAAACGACTAATGACTGAGGTATTATTGCTTTTTTTTACTGTATTTACAGTAATAATTGTTGGAATATGCAGATTTTTTTTTTAACTAATCTGTTCAAAGCTGAAAGAGTGTAAATGCCAGTCAGCCAAAAACACTTATTATCAGAGTATTGTACCATCTTGTATGACATTAAATGCCATATTATGTAACAACTAGCAAAGAACGAATTGATATACACCAAGGATAATTCCTAAATTTGTTGTCAAGATTTTGGGGCGACAGGATGGAGTGAAACAGGACTGGGTCATTGATGACTGTATTGGGAACTGGTGGAGACCAAACTTTGAACCACCTCAGGTAACTACTCTGTTCCCTTTCCCTCAGACAGATTTGCACTGGATCACTAACATTACATATAGTTTTGTTCACTTTCAAGCACATTAACTAAACTCAATTAAATATCTAGTTGTTATAGTTTGATTCAATGGTAAATCACATTGAACATCTCATTTCCTTCCACAGTACCCTTATATTCCAGCACACATCACTAAGCCTAAAGAACATAAGAAGCTTTTTCTAGTACAGCTGCAAGAGAAAGGTAGGGCGAAATGCATTGTTTACTCGATGTACCCCGAGTAAAAAGCGATTTTACAGCTTAACTTGTGTGCTGTGTGTTTTTAGCATTGTTTGCTGTGCCTAAGAACTACAAGCTGGTGGCTGCCCCCTTGTTTGAGCTTTATGATAATGCTCCTGGCTATGGCCCAATTATATCCAGTCTTCCACAGCTACTGAGCAGGTGAGATATTACTTTTGAATCTTGTAGCTTGTAGTAAATGGGCTTCACATAATTTAGTATTGATAAATGCTGTCTAATTAAATTAATGATTGCAAATGTTCATTCTCCTGACCAGGTTTAACTTCATCTACAATTGAGAAGCGTCATAATTTGTCATGACCGTGTACTGTCTCTGTGAGCGCAGTCTGATGGGGTAACGGATGAAGATGTGGTGTTTAGGTGTTGGCTAGGTCCATTGAGGTTTACAAAATTTCTCATTTTCTGGCCTGTCTGCATTACATTGATTTAGATTGCATAGAAATGTGTGCATTTTCCCCATCATTTATAGATACATTGCAAGTCTTTGTTGTTGAACTTTGTCATCAAGTAACTACGTTTTTATGTTTAACTAAGTGGTGAACACAATGTCTTTAGAAAAGAATGTTTCAGTGACTTTTTTTTTAAACCTTGTATATTTGTCAGTGCTTTTTATAATAAATTGTTCACAATCACATGGAGATTACTGTATTTACAGTAATAATTGTTGGAATATGCAGATTTTTTTTTAAACTAATCTGTTCAAAGCTGAAAGAGTGTAAATGCCAGTCAGCCAACACAATCACATGGAGATTTCACAGGTTTCCTTTTGTGTAATTTATTGTTGCTTGCTGTATATGAAAGAAGGATTTGCATTTTTGTCAGTCAAGGTTTCTTTGTCCAAAAAGAGTCAATTTAGTTTTATAGACCATTTTACTCACTCTAAACCCTAGGAACTGAACAGACCGTTTTGCTCTAAAATGTTTAAACGGGTGGACTGACATGAATCATTACCCTTTTGCGAAAATAAATTTAAGCCACTCTTTCCTAAAGCTAAGAGCCACTTTTGCTACACCACAGCCAGGATAAGGCACAATGGTTTGACATTTCTTTTTAAAGGAAAGTTTCACTCAAAAATACTAAATTTACTCACCCTCATGCAGTGGTGGATAAGGTACCTGAAAGCCATACTTAAGTAAAAGTACAGAGATCTTACCAGAAAATGAATTTGGTAGAAGTTGAAGTCACCGTTTAGAAAATTACTTGAGTAAAAGTGTTAAAGTATGTGATATTTATTGTACTAAAGTGTTTTTTTAATGTTAAATGTACTTAAGCATTGAACGTAAACGTACAAGTAAATGGAAAAGGAGCAAATATACAGGTGCATCTCAATAAATTAGAATGTCATGGAAAAGTTCATTTATTTCAGTAATTCAACTCAAATTGTCTGTATCCAATGAATGCAATGAATGTTTGGCAATGAATGTTTGTGGCTTACCCTACTTGTGAAGGGTGTCAATGATTGTCTTCTGGACAACTGTCAGATCAGCAGTCTTCCCCATGATTGTGTAGCCTAGTGAACCAAACTGAGAGACCATTTTGAAGGCTCAGGAAACCTTTGCAGGTGTTTTGAGTTGATTAGCTGATTGGCATGTCACCATATTCTAATTTGTTGAGATAGTGAATTGGTGGGTTTTTGTTAAATGTGAGCCAAAATCATCACAATTAAAAGAACCAAAGACTTAAACTACTTCAGTCTGTGTGCACTGAATTTATTTAATACACGAGTTTCACATTTTGAGTTGAATTACTGAAATAAATGAACTTTTCCACGACATTCTAATTTATTGAGATGCACCTGTATATAAAAATGTTCATACACCGTTTGAGTAGCAAGATTGTGTTCAGTTTTAACTCTTTCGTCCATTTTGTATCTAAGCATAAGAATAACTTCATCCGGTACTTTGTGTCTTTCATTCCAACACAATGAAATAGCATTTAGATGTATTTACAGTTTAATGTAGCTCAGGGGACATGGATGCATTTAACCTGCAGTTACAGATGAATAAATAATGCTTTGTTTTAAACATAAAACGTTGAATACTGATGTTTGAAATTATTTAAAACATGAAAAAAATTGTCGAAATGTGAAATTTAAACCGCCAGTAGGTGACTGTTAATGAGTGAGTTTATGGGTTAATGAGTGAGTTCATTGAGATTCAACCGATTCATTCAAACGATTTGACTGTGTTAATGAGTCAATCACTGAATCATTTATTCAACAGATTCATTCAAAAAGCTGATTCATTCAATAAGTAAACACCGCCCATTGCTCAGAGACTCAAAACAGTGCTCTGATCTTTGTTTGGAACTATCTTCTACGGTGGCCGAGAAGTGCTAAACAAATCACAATTCTGAAAACAAAATAAGAAATTACAAACGCAAATGCAAGTCTAAAAAACTAAATAATTCAGAAAACACAACAACAATTCAGAAAACATTATAACAAGTCAGAAAACACAATGACAAATTCGAAAACAAAATAACAAGTCAGAAAACACAACGACAATTCAGACAAACCGGAAAAGGTAGGTATAGTTTGAGACAGCGCCATTGGTTTGGGATTACTCACCGCTGACTGGACGAGACATCTGTCAATCAACTTATACAGGGAAAAACCACCCAAAGAACAGCAGAGTCGTGGTAGAAAGTTCGGAGATGGTATTAAAGTAGCTCAGTTTAAATGTTTTGTATGAATTCTCCTTACTATGGAATAAAAAAATACGGGGTGTCTATTTACATTTAGTTAAAAGTGACTGTAACACATCAGCTCCAGTGGTGTAGATGGTTAAGCGTTTGACTTTGGCTTTTTGAAAATCTCATATTAGCAATGGATTCTATTTACACTAAGTGAAAATAAATGCCTTTACGATGTGATACGAGATTTGAAAAGTTCGGCAAAAGGCGGGATCGAACGCGTCAAAAAGCCAAAGGCACACGCTTAACCAACTGCGCCACTGGAGCTGATGTGTTAGAATCACTTTTAACTAGACAATTACTAGACACCCCGTATATTTTTATTCCATAGTAAAAGCAATTCATACAAAACATTTAAACTGAGCTACTTTAATACCATCTCCGAACTTTCTACCTCGACTCTGCTGTTCTTCGGCTGGTTCTTCCCTGTATAAGTTGATTGACAGATGTCTCGTCCAGTCAGCGGGGAGTAATCCCAAACCAATGGCGCTGTCTCAAACTATACCTACCTCTTCCGGTTTGTCTGATTTGTCGTTATTTTGTTTTCTAATTTGTCATTGTGTTTTCTGACATGTTATAATGTTTTCTGAATTGTTGTTGTGTTTTCTGAATTGTTGTTGTGTTTTCTGAATTGTTATTTAGTTTTTTAGACTTGCATTTGCGTTTGTAATTTGTTATTTTGTTTTCAGAATTGTGATTTGTTCTGCACCTCTCGGCCACCGTAATTTTTGTTGGCACAATTGAGCAAAAACAGGCAATACATAACATGTAAATCACTTAATGCTAACTTTATTAAACTTGTATAAAATCATTTGTTATAATGCTGATATCTGGAGAAAAAAAACGACACTTTTGTGTGATACAGATTAAGTTAACTATATTGAATGATATAAAAAGCATACTGAAGCATTTTTGCCATCTACAATTTAGAATGCCTTGAATTTTGAGTTTTAATATAACAGTTACTGATAAATCACGTGCGTGCACTCTCTGTTGTGTGATTTCGTGATATACTCGATCATGTCAGATCACACATCATTACAGCACCACTTACATCGCATAAGATATACTGTAACATATCACACAGCACACCCCAGCCTCGACTTGAGAGGAAGATTCAATCATCCGCGAACCGCGGTCTATTTGCACATGAACAAAGCAAAGTGTAACTTGCAAGCGTTAGACCACTGATTCATCAAACCTGCTTTCTTGAAGTCTGTGTACTCCCTGCGTTCCATTCGGAAGGGCTCATCCCTATGCCCTAAGCAATTCACTCCGGAGTGAGAGCTTCGAAGGTTAGAAGGGTTTAGGGGTCCAAAGAACTGTTTCTTGAAGTGCCCTTCTGCGTCATCATCACGTGCCCACACGGAGGCGCCGTCATCACATGCCAAAAATCTGCGCAAAGGATCATGGGAGCCCGAAGTGTCCATCAGCTGTACTCTTCGAATGTCACATGCCTTGCCCAAATACCCACACTTGCGGTCTTCTTCTTCTTCTTCTTATATTTTTACGGCGGTTGGCATCCAGCGTGTTGGTGCATTACCGCCACCTTCTGCTCCGGAGTGTGGATCAGAAAATAGGTTTACAGACTAAATCACCCATTCTCCCACCTTTATCCCGACACATACATACCTACACACGCACACCTTATCCCTGCCCTGCTTTATAATAACATTAATAACAACAACAACAACAATAATAATAATACTTTACCTACCTCACTATTCCTTTAACTCTTCATATCCTATAAAAAAAACCCAGTTACTCTTAAAAAGTTTATAAGAATTCTGGTCTGTGCCCTATGCTCTGTGCTCAATAATTAATAATAAATAATAATAATAATAATAACTTTTAATGCAATATCATGAACCCCTATCTCCCTTAGCTCATTCCTCATCACCTCTCTCTGTGCTCCAAACCTGTTGCATCTCAAGACCACATGCTCTACTGACTCCTCTTCCTGACAACCCTCACACAGTCCAGTATCATGCCTCCTTATCAATTTAAGTGTTTTATTTAATAAGCAATGTCCCAGTCTTAGCCTAGTTAACAATTTCTTCTCTCCGATTTCCACTATCAACAATTTTATGTTTAACTTCCCTTTGGATTTGATATAAGTGCCTACCTTTCCCTTCTCCATCCCACCTCTCTTGCCACTTTTGATTTATTCTCTCCCATATTACACTTTTAACTTCTGCTTTGCTAACACTTACTTGCATTTCTATTTTTCCTTTTGTTAATGCCCTTTTTGCTAATTTATCTGCCATTTCATTCCCCTTTATCCCTACATGACCTGGGACCCATATAAATTTCACCTGTCTTCCTTGATTTACTATTCTTGTCACTGACTGGAGTACTTCAAACAGTATATCTTGACGACTTTTAGAATAGAATGACCTTAGACTAGCTAGAGCTGATGCCGAATCTGAGCATATCAAAACTTTGTCCTGTCCTGTCTTTTCCACCCATCTTAATGCTATTAACATGGCCAGCATTTCCACTGTGTAAACCCCTAACTTATCAGATGTTCTTCTATTTACTCCTATACCTCTATCTGGTAACACCACCCCCAATCCTGTTACTTCTGTCTCTGGGTTCACACTTGCGGTCTTTGCACTTGACTACTTATATGACGTATTTCCTGTATTTGGCCGAAGTCTTCAAGTGGGTGTGAAGACCACAAGTGTGTGTCGAACTTTTCATTACCTGATGGGACACACTTACAGTGTTGTAAAAATGCAGGTGTTTACACAGCTTTATTTTAATTTGAATTTGAAATACTTAGCATTTTAAAATCAACTGCTAAATGTCTGTTCAGTAGTCCCTATAACATGACATAATTTTATTTTGTGGTGCTTCTAATTAAATGTTAAAAATAGTTGCAAATGTTGTACAAAATAAATATCACCACAACTCATC